GCAATTTGAAGGCCTAAATAATTGCAGCGAAACATTTTTTTACGTCGGGCCGCTTGACAACTTCAAAACTGAAATTATATTCGAGGTTAGGGTCTCACTTAGTTACCATGACAACTCAACAATCAAGGCGACAACACCTTTTATGTTTCACTGGTGACTTGGAGAAAATAATTTGCATTGTTGAGAAACGAAAAATAAATTTTAAAAATATTTAATTTTCAACCATAATTCGGCGTGGAATTTTCTTACCGAATACCACGCGAGGTCAAATTAATATCAGGAAATTTTTTGACCTCTAGTGGTATTACTAGTGAAAATCTAATTCTATATATCCCTGTTGCAATCCTTTAACTTTGTCCTAAAATGTTCCTTCTTCAAAAAAGTTAAAAAATAAGTTAGTAATCGCGCACGGCCTGGCCCTCTTGGCGCCATCCTCTGCTTCCGGAATTGTCGGTTTAGTCGTTTGAACCTGTCAGATTAAAACAAGAAAACCGACAATTCCGAAGCAGAAGCGGATGATTAAAACGCATCTATTAAAAATATTCCTTTTAAAAGGCACTTAGAAAGCTGCGCAGTGCGACCATTCTCCGTATAGTAAAAGAAAATCAAAGTATGTGGCTTTAAGTAGAAACGGGACAAACTGACACCCGAGAAACAATTAGGCATTTCAACGACCTGTCAAATAATAGTTGCCAGTGGGAAAAGTTCGTATATCTAAGGGGGTTGCGACATAGTCTTCCATCTTGGACGTTATTTTTATTCGAAATAGTACTTTCCAAGCCTGCCAATTTATGAAAAATGTATAAGAGGTTTTTTTAATATTATTTTCATTGTATTCGACATAAAATATTTAAATTTAATCCATTACTCATAATTTCACGAATTGTAGATAGAATACATCGTATGTCGCAACCTCCTAGATATCAACACTCCCCACCGACAGTTCTTTTGTTTTCCATTTTCCGCGAACTTTGGCTGTGTTCCTCGTAGTTATTATATTCTTATTTAGCTTCTGATTATTTCTATAAATCAAAATTCAACTCGCTGTCTACTTAAGAAAAACTGCCAGTTATAGTTTACTTTGACTTCACTATTAAGGCACCGTTGACCGTACATAGAATATTTGGGTCAACATATTTATAGCTGTTTGAATATCAAATAGCTTTTAATCTTCAACTGGTACAAGGAATTAACCCGTATAGTCACAAATTGATATTGCCTAATAACATTGGAATTTTTTTAATGATGACTTGTGGTTCACGGCATATAAAACTGTCTGTTTTACTTTATAAAATTCTTAAATTTATCAAGATAATCGTAAAATATACGGATGTATGCGAACTGTCTCCTATTAATGTGTTCTTTGTTTCAACTATTAATAGAATTAACAAAAAAAAAGTGTGTTTTATGAGACAAAAGGTTTGATCTTGATTAAAACGAAAATGTAATAAGGACAACGTTAATGAAACATTAATATAACAGTGTAGTATAGTTCTGTACTCGGTCTTAAATGTTGGTTGGGAGAGATCGTAAAGCGATAAAAATAAAATTTAATTTTACAGATATCCTACGGGTTAAAACACTCCCTTAATTGCCAAAGCAAATTTGAAAAATAATTACTGTCTTTTTAATCATCCTCTCATAATCATAAACGTTGGTTGTTATTACATTTCATTACATTACGTTGAAAGTTGTTTAAATACAATGTTATAATCTATGCAATAACTATTGGATATTAATAAAATAAAAAAAATGAGTTATCTTCTTTTTCGAGGAATCTGTTCAGCAGCTGCATCGTTTGTTAGAAATGTATGTGATGTAATATTTAAATATTCAGCCATTGGGACAAAAATAGATTCTCTTATCAGTTTTCTTGGTAAGGTGGCTGATCCAATAATTACTGGTCTTACAAATGTTCCGCCTAGCTAAAAATATAATAGATATATATATGAATTAATTCAATACAAACACTTAAATTTTTACGGAAGAGACATAACACAAAATGAAGCTATATGAAAAGAGTTGGAAGTGTCGATACCCAATACATATACGAGTATATTATATGAGATGTACCTAGTAGGTACCTAATAAAGGAAAACAGAAATAAGTGCAAGAAACATGGAAAGAAATCATTTTATTATTCTTATGATTTCTTTGTGAGTTCGCGCATAACCTATTGTGGTGTGGAATATCCGATTGGCCATGAGGAGATTAAAATTGATTTCCGCGCGCTGTTTTCAATTAGCTGATACCTCAAATTCGTAAAAGCCACGCCTCTACACCACAGTACTTCAACGTGACGTAGTATCAATCGTCGTAATATCATACAATCATACTTATCATTGTATCATGGATTGGCATGAAGCATTGCTGCAGCCGAATGTTGCCACTGTTGCAAATAGATTATACGTATCTCTGAAGGCTTTTCTTTTGTCAGTATTTTCCAATTTGAGCTATATCATCAGCAATTCCAAAACTTGTCGAAGGTCAATTTGTTGTTCAATTTCCTTATCGAGTCGCAAATTTTTTTCATACTACCTTAATTGACGTAGTAGTTGTCAGTTAGACAATTCCTAATAAGTAAAAGATTACAAAGCCAGAAAAGACACGATAGCACACACATGATACGAATCTGAATGTAGCTGATGACATTTGGTGATGAAGGACGGAAGTGCAAGAGAGCAATAATGGGATATAACCAGTTTAATCGTGGCCAGTTGCCAGTTTTACCACGTGTTGCGGGTAACCATAAATAAGATTAAGACATTTTTTGTGATGTGCTACTTTTAAGGTAGGGATTGTCCCTATATGCCCCTCTGACTACGGCACTGCTTTCTTACGAATGAAGGAACACAATTCTTATGAACTTTTTAATTAAATATATACTTAAATTATTTCGCCCATTACTAAAAAACTAGACAATTGGCAAAAAAAACACGTACATTAAATAAACAAAAACTTCTACAATGTTGATTGTCCAGATATACAAGTGAATAAGAAAAAAAAAATCAAATCACCTCACTTCAAATCTTGACATTAACAATATAAAATACTCCAACGCATTTACCACCTATTATATTTCTAATTTTAAGATAATATTAATTTATGTAATTTAATTTAAATAAAAAAAATCTTTTTTTGTAAATTATTTTAATATAATGTAATTTGTGTTTTAGTTTTAGTCATTGTGGTCATAGAAAAAGTATAGTGTGCTACTCGTGCAGACAACCTATTCCATTACTTTCTACACTTGTTGCGCAATGCATAATATACTATTTCTTTTAGTAATACCGACATTTTTATATTTGTTTTGTTGATTCCAAACGAAGCACTGTCTTCTAGAACAATATCAACACAAGCCAATAGCAATTTCTCCAACCACTTTACTTTCATTTCATTATATTCATATCCATTACCATCCAATTATTAATTTGTGTTCATTCCAACCATTGAAATGTATTTCGTTTCATTTCCTTTATTTATTTAATAAGGTCAACATCAGCATTTCAAGTAAGTGTAAGCCCGAGAAGACAGAAATATCCTGAGCATTTTATTCAAAACACTTTATTCGACATTTTGTTGTTTGTTATTGTTTGAAGACATTCGAGATTGATATAATTATATTGAGGGTTTCAATGTATAACGAAATGTGTGGTCACGTTTGTATGCCGGTCCATATTTAGGTTTTTTTATTCAAATTTATAGAAAATTCTGCTCTTTACAATATTAATTTAGCAATGGGCGTGTTTAGTGAAATTTAGAAATATTTTTTCTAATTGAACAAAATCTATTCGAAAAATTCAAACAATTTGAAACGCGCGCATCAATTATCTTAAAATGTCGGCGTAAAATCTTATTGACTGATTTATAATTTTCTAAACAGTAGTCAATGTGTTTTTATTCTGTGTACGTTATCATACAGAATTATTGAAATCTCTGATATCGGACAATCATTATACTTTTATAATTTGCATAAAAACACCATCTGCCTACGTAAGTTGGCGGCATATGAAAAACTTTTTTTATTATTAATATTAGAAAGTCGAGCATGGTCTAAACAGTATTTCTCAAAGTGGTCCAGGTGGACCCCCAGGGGTCCACGGGAGACTCGACGGGGGTCTACGTTGGGCGTAATAAAAAAATGGGGGTTCACAATCGTAAGCGGGTGTGCATGAAAATTAATTTGGTTTCGATATCCAGCAAAATTTTGAAAGTGGTCTATGAAACAAAAGAGTTTGGGAACCTCTCGTCCAAAACATAAAATATAACCATCAGATATCAAATTTTATCAGTCGTATACGAGGCCTGTCAGCAAAATTCATATTATTTGACATACCTGGTATACTATTGTAAAAAATTGATATCTGATGGTTGCAGTTTAGGTTTCAGATCATGCAGAATTTTTTATGAAGTAAAATTAATAATAAAAAAGTATCCCATATGCAGCGAACTTAAGTGGACACATTGTATATTCAAAATAAAACCATATTTTTTCAAATTCCGTTTTAATGAAGCTATTTGATACTATTTTAGTGAACATTGTTTCGTCCTAAATCCTGACATCATTTGCGTTGATCGTCGTCTGTGTTTATAACGTTTAAACAAGCATAAGGCGTTTTCGGAAACCTACTATAGATAACAAATCCAGATTACTGGGTTTACCCGACGGATCACGTGGATCACTGAACTTAGTGCCGACCTGCTTACGAACGAGTTGGATTATTATTCTTCCTGTTTATCTACGTTTGCCAATTTTTAACTTTTCCCGCGCAAACCCAATATTATAATTAAAAGATTCATGTTTTTTAACTTGTAGTAGTCTGACTAATGAAGTCGCAATATGGGCATATATCCAAAATTTTATCCTCTTGCATAAACGTTACTATAACTTGTTTGTGCCTAAAAAGTTTGTATCATCAGATTCGCTGAATATGTCCATTATTCATTCTGTATAAATTGTATTCTTATTCTCTATCAATAACTCTATTTTTTGTTTCCAGGGATGAGGATCTGGAGAAGTGAAGCGGTGTCCAGCTTCTCCTGCTCCAGGAGTATGCACTTGGAGTCTTCATGGTGATAAGAACCGTTCATGTTGGAACGGTGGGCAGCACCGTGGCAGGCATCTGGCTGCTGCTACTGGCGGGGCTGTGGGGACGCGCTTCTGCAGGAATCCTGCTGGCGCAGTATCCCGGCCCCGACAATATTCCCGAACGTTTTTGGCACATGGCCATCGATCAGAAGACTCAGAGAGTCTTCGTGGGCGGCACGAATCGGCTGCTACAACTGGACGGAAACCTTCGACTCGAACACATAGTAACGACCGGTCCTAAGAACGACAGTCCCTCGTGTCATGCACTCGGGTGCAATGATCCCAACATACCTCTTTCCCTGATGGATAACTACAATAAAATACTGCTTATAGAACCAGAATCCCGGACGTTAATTTCGTGCGGATCGTTATCGCAAGGCGCTTGCTACAAGTATAAGGTGAACAACATTACTGCTGAGCCGCAGTTCATACCTAAAAGCATTGCTGCTAATGATGCTAACGCCTCTACTTATGCCTATATCGGTCCTAAGAAATATAATCTTTGGGGACGGTCAAATATCCTCTACGTAGGCACCACATTTACGAACAACGGTGATTTTCGTCATGACGTACCAGCGATAGCAAGTCGCGATTTAGAAACGCTAGAAATTGCAGAATTGGGATTTAGTAAACAGTCCCTTCTAAGTATTGACGTTAAATATAGAGACCATTTTATTGTACAGTACGTATACGGTTTTAATGCTAGTGAATATGCCTATTTCGTTATTGTTCAGAAGCAGTCACATTTGCCGGGACAAGAAGAGCAAGGATACGTTTCTCGGTTATCAAGGACTTGTATAAATGACGCTAATTACGACAGCTATACGGAAGTAACGTTACAGTGCACTGACGCGGAAACCAAATATAATTTGGTACAAGATGCTAAGATCGCGTACGCTAAAGAAGAGCTGGCTTCGGCCTTGGGAATAACAGTCGGTTCACCAGTTTTGGTGGCCATCTTTAGACCAGCCAAAGGGATAACGAACGAACCTCAAAATCACTCGGCGTTGTGTCTTTATCCTTTACGCGATATAGAAGGAAAATTTATAGAAAATATTCATATGTGCTTTAACGGTAGCGTGAAATATCGGAATATGGGTTACGTGTCCGGGCCAATATTAGACGGTAAATGTCCCAGCAGTGGTTCCGCAGGAAACATTCCTAACTTCTGTGAAGTTGGCTTAAAGATAAGCGGCGTTACGCCTTTAGTAACGACCGCTGCCCTAGCGTTTCCCAATATTTCTCTGTCGGCTGTAGCTGTGGGATCGACCGGCAGACACGTTTTGGCGTTTCTTGGTACGACTGATGGGAGGATCAAGAAAGTTTTGCTGTCTGGACCGGAGCCTCCTGAATATGAAGAAGTTTTTGTCGATGACGGAAATCCCATATTGCCTGATACTACTTTGTCACCGACTGGCGATTACCTCTACGTCTTATCAACAGCGAAGGTGAGTAATTTATACTTCGTTACTCTACAATGGTTTATGGGATATACAATTTTTTTATTAAATTATAAAGAATGAATCACAAAAAATGTTTCTAATGTAGGACATGACCAACAAAGACAGAGATACGAATCATGTCCGATAATTATGCACCGCTCTAAATTAAATCCTGACACTTCAAAAGAAAAATTGTACGCTTCTACATACGTTCATGTTTCCAATGCCTACTTTAAAAACATTTTTTTGAAGATTACTCCTCTGGTATTTTCTAGTAGACTTCATAAACTAAGAAGCAGTGTAGATAAACTGTCCTTGGTTTGTCTTCTCCAAAGGGTAAGGAATCTCATTCCAGCACAATACTGGTACTGCAATTTCCTCCTCTTCCTGACAGAATTGACATGAGGTCTCTTATGCCAGTCCAATTTTATGAATATGTATGTTAAACCTACAACGCCCTGTTAATCAAACTACTAGTACTCTAGTATTTTTCCCATTCTTGATTAGTAGATGCTCAGTGAGTTTTGGCGATGGTCCTTTTATAAACTTCATGGATTATCTTTGCTTTGTGACAGCACTGAAGGATTTTGGGCTAAAAAGAGCCTTTGAGGCCCCTTCTCGCGCTAGTAAATTAACAGGTTCAGTGCCTATTAGGTCAGAGCAGTCTCTACCCAGAACCCAACATTAACGTTTATAATAAAATGATAAAATATGTCACTGTAGCCTTAAATTGAATATATTTGGAAGATATCTGTCAAATTGACATCTTTTAACCACTGTCCAATTAACTGGACGCCGATATATTTTTTCCATATTCATAGCAAACACCAGGGTCCAGTTAAGTAAAAAATCCAACAATTTGAGATGAATAAAACATTTTTAGGGCAAATCTTTGTTCAAGGCCCGCTTCAAAACCTAAGATATATCGCAATAGACCACCGTTTATAGGAACACATATATTTAATATTTAAGAGATGTCAAGTTAACTGGACGCGGGCTGTCATTAGAAACTCTTACGTCCAGTAAACTGGAAACGGGCTATCATTAGAAACTCTTGCTTCCAGTAAACTGGACGTGGGCACTAAACCTGTTAGCCTCTTTATTGTGAACTGGTACTTATGTTTTGTCTACCTAGCTCTGTCAAGGCTTCCAAACAGTCGCACATAAGCTCAGTGTACCTGCATGGAACTGAGTGCTTTTAATGTCGCTTGACTGTCTGAATATGACGATGTTTTTTTCATTTACCTTCTGTCTTTGTATTTCTTTTGTGCAGTGATGTATTGCTGCTATTTCTTCCTGAAATACTGTCTTATATTTTACCTAAGCTCAATGAGATTCTTGCGTCTCTTAGATATATATGCTGTATTCATTGATTCATTCTCAGGTAAGTTACAGCTTTAATACCCAAAGAATCTAGACTCTGGGACTTCGAACCTATTCACCTGTACACCTATTTAAAAACTTCTAACGGCTCACGATAGATACATAATTTGTCTTTGATTTAACGGAAAAAAGTGTTTAATACGTACACTATTCCAGTTTTAAATGTATATATTACATTGATAATATTTTTAGGTTTCAAAAATTAACGTTGAACACTGCAGTACTTACACAAATTGCTCATCCTGTCTGGAATCGAAAGATCCTTACTGTGGATGGTGTTCTCTCGAAAAACGGTAAGTTCTTGTTTTACGGACGTCTACCGTACAAATAAAAAATAAAAAAAAGTTGTGTTAGGCAGACTAAATAAAAATTATATTATTTTAAGGTGTACTGTACGTGGTGCTTGCCAAAAAGCATCTCATAGCCCTCCCCGATGGCTTTCCTTAGGGACAGGCCAACAGTGTATAGATTTTGAGCAAGTCTTCCCAGAAAGGATCCCGATTAACCAAATGACTAACGTCCGATTAACAATCAGAACACTCCCTGCTCTTCCTCCGGGTGCTAAATACAAATGCGTTTTCGGTAATGCTGAACCCATTGATGCAGAAGTCACGGAAAATGGTCTCTACTGTTTCACACCAGAAATATCGAGGCGTCCTAGAATACCGCCAAAAATGGACCACGTTTTGGTTCCTCTGAGCGTCAGGTCATCTGAAACCAACAAAGATTTTGTATCCAGGAATTTTGCTTATTACGATTGCGGGAAACATACTACTTGCGGGGAATGCGTGAAGTCGAAATGGGCATGTAATTGGTGTGTCTATGAAAATAAATGCACTCATAATATATCCGTTTGTCAAAGGAATATCATCAGCGGAGAAAACGTAAGTCTGAAACACTTGTTGAATTAAAATGACGGTAAATTAAATGTTTATCCTGTGATAGTCCTTGATCTGTTCAGTAGTTACCGACGTTTACATAATGATTTTAATAACTTTTAAAGAGTTGATCTACAGAATCTGTAAGCATTAAAACAAATTATTTAATATTTTGGAAATTTTATTTTTAGAATCCATCTCATTTGTCCATGCACGGATTTTCGTACTGTCCACAATTCAAAAGAAAAAACGAAACTATTTTGCTACCTAATAACGTTTTAAAGAAAATAGTTTTTGAGGTTATGAATTTACCAAATCCTTCATCAGTGCATACTGGGTTCCAGTGCATAATAGTCATAGAAGGTGCTACCATGCTTGTTCCAGCTACAGTAGAGGGTGAAAACATCATTGTCTGCGACCAAACCACAGTAAGAATTTATACATTATTGTTTGTTCTTTAAAACTACGTATTATTTGATCATGTTTGCTATCAAACAAAGACAGATAAATTGATGACGTCTCTACCGATTATTTAACAAAAATTAATAGGCTTTTGCTGAGGGGAAAGGTAATGCAATTCGTTACGAGATCCGTAAAAGGATTTTTATAAATTTAACGAATACGTGAAGTTTAAGCCCTAGCGAGTCTCTTTTGCATAATTACTTACAGCACAGCGCTGTGGAATAATCAGAATTGTGAGACCAAATGTGCCTAGTCAGCGATATATAATTGAAAGAGTAGTTAGTTATGCTGCCAGACCAACGATGACCTAATGGATAAAACCTTGTCACTGTAGGTACTTATGCTAAATAATATTAAAATGTATCTTTCATTTCATTCATTCAATATTTTACCTTACGTGGCTGTTTGATAAGGAATTTGATTAAAAAGTATAATGTTGTTTATATAAGTGACATTTAATTTTGTGTCAGCAGTGAAAAATTGTTGAGCTTTCAGTTCTTATTGCTTTTGAACCACAAAGAAGTTGAATATACGAGTTCTAATCACTATTTTGGCCTTTTTTATATTTTTTCAAGATTAGAAAGATAAGCAGCGTTGCCAACAAGTTTGGAGGGAAATTCCCTGTGAACTCTTTGAAATTTCCCTAGAATTTTTTAAATATTTCAACACCTCTTTTGTCCCCATTTTTATAAAAAAAATATCAATCAATTGGTTTCATCTTATAGAGCTTTACTAAAAATTTCATGTTGATATTACTTTTAGTTTTTGATTTATGATTTTTTTTTTAATTTCAATCTCCTCAAACGCGCCATTTTTAATCAGATTTTTTCAAAATCAAAGTGCTTCTTCCCCTTATAGAGCTTGATTTTTGCTAAAACTTTCAAGTTAATATCATTTTTGAGTTGAATTTTTTTTTTCTATTTTAACCCCCGCCCTTAACCCCCCAATTTATTCAGATTTTTTTCAGAATTAATAGGTTTTATCTTAAGAGCTTGATTTTTACTAAAAATTGCATGTTGATATCGCTTTTCGTTTTTGATTTGATTTTTTTTAAATTTCAACTCCATTTAACACTCTGTTTTTAATCAGATTTTTTTTTTCAAAATTAAAAGACTTCTTCCCTAAATGGATCTTCATTGTTGCTAAAAATTTCAAGTCGATATCATTTTTCGTTTTTGAGTTAGAATTTTTTTTAATAATTGATCGTTGCAATAATTATTTAAAGGAGAAAAAAAAAAGATTAAAAATAATTTTAAATTATCCTATAATTAACTCCAGTGTATGTCCCTAGAACTGACGAAATTTTCACTAGAGTTGGTAACGCTGAAGATAAGTGATCGGTGTAAAGTTAGAGTAACTTTTAGCAATAAAAATAACTGAAAACACCAGTTTGAGAACACAGAGGAGTCCGATTTACAACTATGTATTGTAATAATCCTGGCAATATATATTTAACACATTAATATCGACTTTTCTGTACAAATAATTATTGCCTTGCTAATTTTTAAGATACTTCATTTGCATTTGCAATGTATAAAAAAATAAATTAAATAATAATAATAATAATAAATTAACCTACTTAGTCATTACTTAAAACTTTAAATTTTAACGTTTGTTCTCTGTAAAATAGGCTGTTTTTGAGATTTTTCGAAATAGATAACATTTTTGGACTAGTTTTAGGACTATCTAGATTTTTTATCTGTTTTATAATGAATTTCTGTTATCGTCATTTCTTAAAACTTAAAATTCAAAACCTTTGTTTTCCGTAAAATAAACACTTTTTGAGATTTTTCGAAAAACAAAAAAAAATTGACTAGTTTTGGTATATCTAGCTTTTTTATGTTTTATGATGAATTTTTATTTCTAACCTGTTTGGCGTCATTTCTTAAAACTATTTGGTGTTCTGTGACAATGTTTATACATTGTTTCTTTTTGCAGTATTCTTATGAAGCAAATGAAGGAGAATATGAAGCATCAGTAGAGGTAGTTTGGAACAGAAAGCATCACATAGACTCCATGAATGTAACTTTGTACAAATGTGATATATTAGGTTCTCATAGGGAACACGCTGATTGTTCATTGTGCGTAACAAGAAACTCAAAATACAACTGCACATGGTGCGGTAACTCTTGTCAATACTCAGAATCGTGTCAACACACGCCACACATTGAATGCCCAAGGCCTAGAATTGATATGATCAAACCACTAAGTGGACCAATCGAGGGAGGCACATTAGTAACTATTGAAGGCAGTAATCTCGGTTTAAAGAAAGAAGATGTTCAAGGAAAAATACAAATCGGACAAATTCCGTGCGTGTTGGTAAATTACGAAGTATCTGTTCGTATTCAGTGTCTCACAGGACCTTCTAGAGGCGAAATGATAGCTCCGATTCGAGTAGGAAATGAAGCCGGTTATACTAAATCATCGGTAGAATTCAGCTACAAAGACATCAGACTATCTGGTATATTTCCATCCATAGGACCCCAATCTGGCGGGACTCGACTCGCAATTACTGGGCAATATTTAAATGTAGGCTCTGAAATAACAGCCTATTTGGATGATTACTTATGCCAAGTTAATTTGACTCAAGCATCTAGCGGGAGATTGACTTGTATAACATCCAGAGCGGTCAGACCAACGAATGTAGTTAGATTAACTCTAAGTATAGACGGCGCTAACCGCACTTTAGAAGGCAATCCTTTCAACTATACGCAGGATCCTACTATAATGGAAATAAAGCCATTGAACAGTTTCGTGTCCGGAGGGAAGATGATATTTGTACACGGTACGAATTTGGATAGTATACAGAAACCGGAAATGGAAGTATATTCGCTAGATGATTCTAGTACTCCGATTAATAGGACTTTGTGTACTGTATTAAGCAGTACCCAGATGGAGTGTCCCAGTCCTCCTGTCAATAAACAATTCAGTAATTATAGTAGTAGACGTCCTCGATCCCTCAGAAAACCGGCAGCTATAAAGGTAAGTCACACACAAGGTTAAACTAAAATTTTTATTAATCCATTAGTCAAAAAATGAACAGAGCCTTGAAAAATATTTTCTGAATTTACTTTGTACGAGGAACGGTATCTGACTCAAGTCACTAATAATTCTAAAACTATTTACTCATTACTTGTCTATAGTAAATTGTAAATCAACAGTTTAAAATAAAAAAAAACTCTTGTAAATAATCTTTTTTCCAGGTTAGATAATTATTTTATGGCAGTGAATGAATTTAAAATATTTGTGTGAATTCAAGAAATTCCCGTGCTTATCAATGGAAATTAATTTTTTACGTTTTTTAGTGAATTGAAATTTAAAATAAAATGTCAGAAGTTATAAATTTAAATATCCGGACATCTAATTTCCTGATGACCAACTTGTTAGAAAAGGTTTGATGCTGTTTGACATATTTGAATTTAAAATATAGTATTTCACTAAAAATATTAAAGAATCATATTTTCATTGATATAAATATTAGGTATTTCTTCCAATTCTTTCGAATCCAGAGCAAAGGAATAGTTTTTAAAAGATAAATATATTGGTAAAATCTATTATTTACATAATAAACGTTTTTAAAATAAATGTTGAATACATAGACTTTAGGGTGACACTAGTTTAATTAAATTTACTATATAAAAACAGATTATGAAAACAAAACTGTCGAGTTCTGAACTTAGAACCCATTTTTAATAACTTGATTTCTTAGAATTGTGTTATACAACCTCTTTGCAGACGAAGAGTTCTCACACTTTCTTTTATCAGATTTTTGGAACTCCATTTATTAGGTATGTTAGGTGAGTTCTTCTGTGGGTAAGCCTCTAGTGGCCCAGCACATATAAAGGGACAGCTTAGACGAAGTTTTTAAAACTCCCAAGTTTCGATAGTTTATTCCAATAAATAGGTATTCTCTATGTCATTAATAATAACTCTATTGTAGCATTAATCAAAGTCATTAAAAAAACTTATTCTTTTTAGATGAAGGAACCCAAATTGAACCTACGGATCGGTTTTCTCATGGACAACGTACAATCGGTCAGAGATTTGGAGAAACATTTTCCAAATCTTCGATCACAGTTACTGTACGTGGAGGATCCAAAATTTTTTCAATTTCCTAATCAAATAAAGTTATATCAGGGTGATAGGCTTGTGATAGAAGGTGAAAATTTAAATGCAGCTAGCGAGGAGTCTGATGTTGTTGTTACTATTGGTACAAAGTCATGCAACGTTACTGGTCTGGCGATGATCCAGCTCGTTTGTGTTCCAGCCGAACACCAACCTTTAGGAACCGACGAAAATGGCTTTAAGGTAAAATATTTATTCAAGGGTGTTCAGTAGATTTTTATTTTTACAAAATAGTGAATTACATTTGATAAAAATTACTTACTAACTAACATTTATTGACAGAATCCATACAACGTTGTTTATTTATTTTAAATACAATACTTAAGTTCTGTAGACATTAAAATAAAGATTTCACCCAAGTAGGTTCTTCTGGCATAGATAGAAAAGTGAAGGCCCAAATTACAGAGGTAACTGCCTAAAATAAATTTAAAACTCATTAGTTATAAAGACAATACAACTACATTCCTGTGGGAAATCAATTTTCCAATACAATTGCTATTCACACGGCAGAATTATCGATTTAATTTTCTTAATATAAGCTTTACTTACTGTATCCTCTTCCTTTATTATCATTATAAGTTTATTAAGAGCAGGTGGCAAATTAGCTGTAATATTTTAAAATAATTTAAAAAGTAAAATGTCATTGTCTGCTTCTATATTTTCATAAATTTTGCGGCCTTTTTCTCAAAAAAACGGCCATTTAACAAATGGTCTGTTTTGATGAATAATTTTGCCAATATTTTTTTAAACTGCTTAATATATGAGGTAAAAGGCAATAAAAAAATACATTAAAAAAGAAGAATTACTAAATATCTTTAAGAAAAAGGCTACGAAAAGTACAAAAGTATAGAAGAAGACAATGACTTGACGTTGACATATTTTATTTGAATTTAAAATAAAAATTTCAGTACTAAAAATAATCGTATTTGTATTGATAAATATAGGTATTTCTCAGAATTCCCTCGAAATTGGATCAAAAACCGTTCTAATGAAATTATTAAAGAAATTCCGTTTATCACTGATGAAATTGAGAGGTTTTAAATGTGGTAAGAAGACTTAACAGACAGTGATCATCAGATTTGCCACATCCATTTGATACAAACTTGGTTTTTAATGAAGAATTTTGGGTGGAAGATTATTCTAAATATTTATACCATTTACTTTTTGTTGTTAATGTGTAATAATTAAAAATCCTATAAAAACATGTCACAAAACGCTTGGAAGTCTTAAGAGAAAAAACGAAAAATAAATTCACAATTCTTTAACGTAATGGAAAAATATTTAATTAATTGTTATTTTTAATATTTTCAGACTGAAAATAACCTTCCATTAGTAGTAGTTAGAGTAGGAAAAAGTTTAAGGTTCCCAATCGGGTATCTGCAATATGACATATTCAAATCATTCGCTTTTCCACCTGAAGCCATTATTATGATAGCAGTTGGAACGATATTGTTTGTTTTATTCTTTGTTGCCGTACTATTTGTTTACCGAAGGAAATCGACTCAAGCTGAAAGGGAGTATAAAAGGATACAAATTCAAATGGACACATTAGAAAGCAACGTTAGATCCGAATGCAAATTAGGTAAGTTTAGAGGTTAATCAAGGAGTATTTCCCTTTAATTCGCATTTTATGTTTTAATGTTTTTTTTTTATGTAATAGGGAGCAAAATATACAGGTTTAATCTTTATACAATCAACAATATGTATACAAAACGGCTTGTTTGTGAGTGTGACATCTTTCTCTTAATCTTATTGATTCTACCTACGTATTTCCCTTAAGTATGACTTGCCCTCTTTAAGTTGTATTTGTATTTAAAATTCTGAAGATTTAACCCTGTATTTTATTCAAATTTCTAGTTTGTTAACTAATTGAATTATAGATTTTATTTGGCTTTAATTTTAATTCAAAATATTAAATGACATGTAGGGATTCATATGCTTTTAGCATTTGCTGAGCTACAAACTGATATGACTGATCTCACTGCCGATTTGGAAAATTCTGGTATACCAACTCTAGACCACACCAGCTATATCATGAAGGTATTCTTTCCTGGAGTGAGCGACCATCCTATTTTGAATGCACCCAAGGTTAGTAAAAAATTACATTATTCATTTGTCTTGTATGGTTTACACAACGATGGTTAAAAGGCAAAAGTTCATAAGCAACAAATTTTACAAAATGAGTTTTTGGAGCAAGGAACACAATTTTTTTTTTTTTTTTCGTTAAACAAGCTGTTTTTCCTACAAAAGTCAAGCAGAAAATACAAATACCTAAATTAATATGCCGACTTTTTTTCTGCTAAGCTTATACTGATAATTTTATGTGATTTGCATTTGTAATATTTAGGAAAGGGTTAAATTTCAGTTACATAATTCTACTTCCCCATTTAATTTTTAATATTGTTAACCATCCTGTTTTCCATAATTCAAATGACAAATGGATTGTTGTTTAGGCTGTTTTACCTCGCATGATTTATCCCTGATCATGTATCTTATCTACCCGTTTATTATAAGCACAATTAAAAATAATTAGTATAAAACATTCTACCAATTTGCTTATAGTTACTATTAAGGCAGTTAAAATGATTCCAAGCTAAGGTGACAACGTTATGGGGTGGTTTATAATGTTTTACATTATTGCTTATATTAACTGTTAAGGTGGTTAAGACCTCTTAGCTGTCTGTTATTTGATCGTCAAATAGCTTAAGCGATACAATAAGTTTGTAAGAAATGCTATTTTTGAATTTAATTATTAGTTAATACAAGAAATAAACACAGTTTTTAGTTTTGAACAAAAGTTATGAATTTTTTTATAAAATAATTTTGAATTTTAAATGGTCCTATCAAACTATCACTTATAACCTTTTGCCTTACAACTGTCATTAAGAAACATGCTCTTCATTTTAAAACCAAAACTTTTTTATAAATATTGAACAGCTGTATAGGTATATTTTTATTTTAGGTGCGTTTAAATGGCCCAAGAACAAATTATGATACAGCCATGTTGCAATTCGAGCAATTAATTAACAATAAACATTTTATACTCACATTTATAGATATATTGGAGTCGCAAAAATCTTTTAATATTAGAAATAAGTAAGTAATTCGATTACATTTGACAAAATGTTATAGTTTAATTTCTTTATTTTTTTCAGAGTTAATGTAGCGTCCTTACTAATGGTAGTTTTAATGGGTAAAATGGAATATGCAACGGATATTCTAAAAAGTTTATTATTGCGTTTAATTGATAAGTCTGTAAATACGAAGCATCCACAATTAATGTTAAGGCGAACGGAAAGTGTTGTAGAAAAAATGTTAACAAACTGGATGGCCCTGTGCATGTACCACTACCTCAAAGAATACGCCGGTTCATCCCTTTTCCTATTGTTTAAAGCAATCAAACATCAAATAGAAAAGGGCTTGGTGGACGCCATTACGCACGATGCCCGGTATTCTCTCTCTGAAGAAAGACTTCTGAGGGAAAACGTGGAATATAGTGTTGTGGTAAGATAATAAATTAATGTGTCCCAATAATAGCGCCCGTTTAAATTTTATTATAATACTAAGTTTATACAGTTTGGTGCAAATGAAAGGAATATTATTATTTTCTAAAAAAAACCTGAAACCCTTAGATTTTTATTTTCAAACTCATTCTGTCAAATATTCCTTTTATTCGAAATGTGGTTAATGCGACACATCGTATTGATAAGTTTTTTTGTCATGACACCCTTTAGTATCTTGGATTCTACAACCCTAACAGCCTGATGCAAGAAAGTTCATTAAAATTTATGAGCCTGATAATATTTAACAGATATTAGGATTAGGAATGTGGTATGTTCGAATGATATAAACTTTAAATTACTCACAATCTAAATATTTCTCAACGTTTATCAGGATAGTAAATTTTAACGAACGTTGTTGCTGTAAGCATTTAGGTGCTTAAGTAGAAAAATAACAGTAACTGTAATAATAAACAAATGTTATTTATAGACCCTTCACATCGTCCAAGATGATCTTGACGAAAAAATCCAATGTAAAGTCTTAGACTGTGATACTATCAGTCAAGTGAAATCGAAGATTTTAGACGCGCTATTTAAGAACACTCCATTCTCATTGAGGCCTTCCATCTACGAAGTAGATTTAGAGTGGAGGCACGGTCGAGGCGGTCATTTAACCTTGCAGGATGAAGACCTGACAACGAAGACCATCGGCGGGTGGAAGAAGCTGAACACTTTGGCCCACTATGGAGTTAAAGAAAGCGCCGTTATGTCTTTGATTTCAAGACAAAATGACAGTTTTAACAATTGTAAACAACCCTGCCATAACTGCGTTACAGGAATGTACCTAAATAATTCACAGTCGCCAATAATAGCGACTAATGGCGATATAGAAGCTGCTAATAATCCCAGAATATACCATCTAGTCAAACCAATCGATGACCATCAATTTCCGAACAACAAAACAGTGGAAAGAACCCACAAGGCTATCCCAGAGATATTCCTCACGAGACTGCTATCCACCAAGGGCACTATCCAGAAGTTTGTAGATGATTTTTTCATGACGATTCTTACAGTGAACGAAGCTCTACCTCCGGCAGTGAAATGGCTGTTCGATCTTCTGGACGACGCTGCCAGAAAACACGGCATCCAGGATCCGGAAGTTGTGCATGCATGGAAATCGAATAGTCTTCCTTTAAGATTTTGGGTTAATTTCATTAAGAATCCTGATTTCATTTTTGACATCAACAAAACTTCAACGCTGGATTCCTGCCTGTCGGTCATCGCTCAGACCTTCATGGATTCTTGCTCCACCACGGAACATAGGCTGGGAAAGGATTCACCATCAAATAAATTATTGTTTGCTAAGGTAAGGTTCTTATTTACTTCCTATTATTTTAGAAAATTCTCATTTTCCTTGATAATTGTTATATATAAACAAGGTTTTGGCAATGACGGAATAAGTGACATTAACTTTGACAACATTAGCCAACATAAAATAGGCAACGCTGTTGGTGCGGTTTAAAATGTAAACAGTTTTTATCTTATTTATCCTATATCTATGGTGCCGAGAGCAATACTCACATGTCAGTAACTGCCTTTCCTATTTTTAATTGCATTATTCAAATCTTTCTTTGTACCTTTTCGTTTAATCCGAAGGCATTTTCAATTCAAGCTAAGGATATTTATGTAATGATAAATTGAAATTCTTTCCTTTTCTATAATTGCAACCAAATGCACAATAATTTTTATTCTTTAGCGCCATTTTACAATAAAATATTGTAGAAATATCAGAATTAATTAAGAAATCCATCTTTTAATCACAACAAAACTTTAACACATTCAAACCATTAAAATTCGTTATTGACCATATAATGTAAGAAAAGTTTGTTTGGTTGCAATGGAAGGCGATAAGATTATCCCACTCATTTTCGACCCAACCATACTATTGTAAACAAATACTTCAGGTCTTCAGAATATTTTTATAGTTTGGTTCTGTATATAAAATAATAATGAGAAAAGTGCAGAACTTTATTATAATTTATTTATGAAGTCAAGGTTTTTCTTATACAAACATTTAATATTTCCTGTAAAGAATTTAAAATTTAAATTTTAAATGTTAAGGGTAAATGTGAAACTGCCGAAGATAAATATCTTAGAAAAATCTTAAATTTGAAAAGCAGTTTAACATAATGCTCTTGTCAACATTAAATCTTTAATAAAAGCAAAAATAATTATATTTACCAAATATATTAACAGATTTGTACTAATACTATATAAAATAGCAAATAATCGGTAAGTGACTGGTCACTTATGCTGTAATTTTCATTCCTGGACAAAAATGGTATTTTTGAATAGGTTTCTTTATGAGCTTTTCAACGATACCAAATATATTGGGTATCAATATCAAGATAAGTTTGACCAGTCATTTATAAATTAGTAAATGACCATACAAAGTGCTCGGGTGTTAGGTATCCTATTCTATAGTTTGGCTTTTACAAAATTCTATAATTCAGAGTTCCTTTTGAAATTTGAATTTGAGATTCAATTTAGAGTTGATAGGATTAAACCCTTAATAAGACGAGATGACTTTATTTTCATGAAATACTACTACAAGTCAAAATATTTACTTCATTAAAAAACACAAGTTACACAAATTTGAATGCTAGTAGGAAACATTCAATTTTACTTTTGCTTAAATATTTGTCAATTATTATCAAAAATTCTTGTTAAAAAATTAGTCTACGTAATAAATAATTGTTTGGTGTTTGGCTTTTCAGGATATACCGAGGTATAGGGAGATGGTGTCTCAGTTCTACAGTGACGTTGCTATGTTACCGGTGATAACAGATCAAGAAATGGGATCTGCCATGCAGCAATTGTCTGCACAACAAGCAGAGGAATTTGACACTGTAGCAGCTTTAAAAGAACTTTACATATATGTTACTAAATATAGAGAACCAGTAAGTATTATCATTTAAAAACCTATTTAATTATACTTAATTTCCTGTTTTATTTCATATTTTAACAATTTCTGAAATGACTAATTTAAATAGTAAGTTTTCTAGTTCTTTCATGGTTAATATTCTTCTTCTGTTTATTGAAGTTTTTTTTATTCCTACTTTAATTTCCTTTTATTTTATTGTATCTTTTAATATTTTCTGGAATTACATAATCTTGTCATTCACTACTTTAATAGTAAGTTTTCTAGTTCTTTCACGGTTAATATTCTTGTTCCAGCTGTTGATTGATATTTTCTGAATAGGTCTTTTAAGTTAACCTTTGAGTCAAGAATTATTTAATAGCTATTTATGAAACCAGTTACGAAATTCCTTATTTTATTTAACGAGCAAAGCGAGGTCCCGCAACAAGACAATTTACATATAACGGCAGTTCGTATCATACAATATTTTTTCTAATTTTGACTAATTATTTATAAAATTTTGTTTTGGTAAGAAATTACTGACATCTAGGCAACCAATATTAGTATTTTCCATTATTGTTAGTTGCATATTTCATTTTATTAACAAATAGAACATAATATTAATTATTTATTTTTAACGAGTTGTAGTGTTTTTATATGGCTTATTAAATTTATTTAGTTTTCAAAAAAGTGGGTTATTTTGTCGTGTATTGTGTTAATTATTTTATGCTGATTTTTAAAGGTAAATAAGGACCAAAATAACATTACTAGGTTGTAAGTTTAACGAAATTCTATTTGTATAAGTCTTCTTTGATATATACTTTCAATAATAATGTATATTACTGATGTTAAAACGAAAAAAGGTTAATTTTTATTTGTTTTCTTGTCACTACTGCTGACATATTGAATTTTTCGCAACCAGTTTTATAATGTTCAACAATATGCAACTGGTTGCGTAAAGTAGATCATTTTGACACGCTGCGATTACAAAAAAATGTCACTTTATATGTCAAAATTAGAACAAATCTTTTTTAAATAATAAGGAATGCTAAACATTTTAACCCTAGGTTTAAAATTACAAAATATTAATATTTTGCTAAATAAATAATACTGGGTCAAATGTTATCTACTATTGAGATGCAGGGTATTAATGTTACACTTTTCGGGTCATTTATACTCGTTTTATTAATAGTGAAGTCTTGAGCTGAAGTTGAACATGTCCAAGAAGGCCGAGATAAGGCCATGACAGGCCGCGAACCCTTTTGTGGAGTTGCTAAGGTATTATGGAAGGCATCCATTAAACAATGGATGCAAAAAGAGTCTCAGGAATGGTGGAACAACTACTCAATATTGAGACAGGCCAAACAGTTCATCAAGGAACCATTGGCCAAGTTCACGAAAGACCTACTGGATCAAAAACGTCAAATCGTTAGGATAACAGTAGGTCTTCTTACCGGACACTGTCGCCTAAGAAGGCGCAGGTTTTGTGAAGATCCGGTACCAGAGTGAAGTCCTTCCTGGCTAGATTAAGGTTTCTAAAATTAGTCGAACAAAAGCTAGACGCATGGAAATACATACGAGAGCCACTGTCGAAGATTCTAATAAAAAAAGTCTAAGCTCAACCACATACTCTAAAAAACGGAGTTCCAAACTATATCTGAAAAGGTCGCGATGGACAAGAACAAATCAACATTCTGTTGTGATTTTCATGTCTTGATTCTTCAACAGTTCTTCATTAGATTTTAGAATATTTGACAAAAAAAAAAATCAAATCTAATGTGTCGGGTATTTGAAACGCAGGCCAATGGCCCCTTTTTGATTTATATTTCAAATTTTGTCTTATTTTTATCTAATAGTTATTCTTACGCCTCTTATTATCACTAAACCGAGTATAAACGGTTAAACTTGAGACTATTACTATTACGAAAACGAGTATAAATGAACTCTTATTTTTTGTTTTTATTTTAGTAATATTTGCTTTACTATTTAACGTATTAACTTGAAATTTATATTTTTGGAAAAGTAAATCATAAGCGTATTATCAATTTTAAGATTAAATACACTCGTAGAATGAAGAAAACTATCAATGTTTTTCTTGCATTTCTACATTTTTCAAGCCTGGTGGGTTTTTATCACCCCGATGGTCAATATTTTGGAGCAGCTATTCTGTTCGGCCGCTCTACAGTGCTCTACAGGTTATATGTAAGGAGGATATTAAACATTGAAATATGAGCTATTATACTGTAGACTTATTGTGTGGCATGAGGCGCAAAATTGTTATGGCGTTCAGTTGTCCAAATTTAGTATCCTCTTTGTTAAACTATGTATTTATCGAAATATTAAATTCATATTGAAACTGATAGTACGATATTTATTTTTGCATTTTTAGATTCTTGAGGCACTTAGCACAGATCCAAATTGCCGGCGTTTGCATCTGGCACCAAAACTGGAAGGTGTCGCATATACATTAGGAGGGGATGAGAATTCGGCATGCTGACCTCAACGGTCACCTGATCCTCTGCTGCCTAGAACCTTGGCGCCCTGATTCCAAGCGTAAGTTCACACACATGCTTTTCGCTAAACCAAACAACTACAAGTCAATTTTTCGAAGGTTTGTGCTGCCGTCTTACCATAAATATTAAGTCATAGTTATTTTTTTAACATTTTACGACGCTTCAACTTGTGTATACTTACATTTTAGACGATTTTTAAAGCTTCGAAGTTCCTATATGTTAAGCCAAGTTACTTTATGTACCTTAATTATTAATCGTAATTGTAGATATACCTACGTACGTTACGAACATCATTTGTTATTGTTCTCATCCAAAATTTGTAATCGATAAAACCTCAGATTCGTGGTATTTTATAATACAGTATATATTTATGGAAGATAATTGTTCATATTTTCAACCGATCCATTTTTAAATGAATGTTATAAACGTTTGTTATAAATAATTAATAATTTGCTGTTATAGTAATTTCTGTTACATACATTTTTCACTTCAGTAAAGCAATAGAAACACTACCTTAATTTTGGTTGACATTTAATAATATTCAGTAAGAAGTATACTATGGAAAAATGTAGTATTATAATGTCTGGTGTCAAAGTATATTAAAAAAAATTGATCTCAAAGATGGTGAAAAATATTTGTTACAAAAATTTAGAGCAATTTGACTTTGTAGACTAGTATTGTTATATGTTGTTATTGTAAAATTATAAATGATGAAGCTGGTTATAGAGAAAAGCATGTTTGTGTTTTTGAGCGTGTTATACTGTGATATGGCGCATGATCAGGTGACTGTGATTGAGTGCGTACTTACCCTCCAGCGGCTGCTAGTTTCCTTTCCGAGTGCCTCGCTACGCTGATGGGACGTGACAAGGACAGTGTATACTCGCAATGGCGCGCAAATGTAGCGCACTTCTATGGTTCAAGGGTAATTCCACTCTGATTGGTTCGTACCTCGCTATTTATCTATTGTCCTATTTTTAAAGCCAATTTATCATTATCTTTGGTTTCTAAATAGTGACAAAGTTTTGTCATACTTGTCCATTTTCAAGCAATAATTGTTCATTTATTTGACATTAAATGTTACAAAATCGTAACTAACAATAATACGTTTATAGCAATACATTTGATCATTAGTAGTAAAATGGTACACTAACAGCAAGGCCACGAGTCTTAAAATGGCAACATTGTACATAATGAATCGTACAATGTTTAAAAACGAAAATTGAAAACGACAATACCTATAAATGAGAGCCGTTAACAACTGTTCGCAAAATTAACTAAGAAACTTTATAAAAATTTATAAATAGAAAAACTGATGACAAAGATCAGACGCTGTAAATGTAGCTTTTTTTCATTAAAAATACAAATCAAAAAACACGTACGTAACTGGGTAGATAATGTTATGAGCCTACTAAGCTAAAGAAGACGAAGAAGCTATCTACAGGTATAAACCAAGCACTACAAAAATGAGCTATTAATTAGCCCGTTATCTGTTTAATGAAAGATTTACTTTATAAATTTATCTAGAGCCTACATTTGATATCTGAATAGAAAACATCGAATATTATTGAAGTAATTATTACTTGAATATAGATGAACATGTTTGACATTAATCAAAATATACAACAAAATTATATAGTTTGTGTGTTTAACAACTCTTCTACATACTTTCATAGATACAAGTTCTAATTTATTTAAATAAACTGTTTCTTTAATCAACAACTTAATTTATTCCAATGTTTAAATCACTTTTTAGAACAAACAGTAAACAAAAAATTTGAGTTGATATTTAAATTAAAACATTTCTTTATTGGCTTTATTAATAATTTTCAGATTCTGAACATTCATGCAAGAAACGACATTATAGCAAATATATTTTAAAACTTGTCGTTTTTTAAGTGTTCTGAACTAACATTTTAACAATGTTTCTCTAAAATCGTTTACAATTTATTGGTACGAAACTTTTAGAGACCCAAATGGGATTACCCCTAAACCCTTTTCTGTTCGGTCCGGTTAGCCTAGTAAAGTAGAAATTATAGAAATTTTTTCAGCATATATTCGACTGACTACTTTTTCAAAAATATATTTTTGTTTATTTTTATTTTTTATTCACAAATTGTCCAGGAGGATTAACAATTTGAAAGATCTGAACCTTTTATATTATGATTTGTACATATAATAATTTTAATTTATATTTATTCTTATAGGGTTTGATATATATACATTTTATTTATTTTTGCATATTAGGACATCACATTTTAATTCTGTGTAGAAATTGGTAAAATATTCAAATAATTTACAAAAATTGTTAGTATGAATTCAAAATGAAACAAACATTCATGCTGGAAATTCAAGAAATGCTGTAACATAAACCAGTTTACTATCCTTCAATTTAGATGTTTAATCACACTTCTTGTTTTTTAAAATTTTTATTTTTTCATTTTTTTTTTAAAAAGATCTGCTTATTATTAGACTTGTTTTGATTAAAAGTTTTATTGCATAACCATGACATTTTTATTTTTAATTGTTAATGACATTTTTATATTATTTCTCTTGGACAGTTTATCGGAATTGTAAGTTTTAGTGTTGGTCGTTTTCCACGTTGTTCTGAGTTTTATTTTTATAAAAATAAATATGTGGCTATTGTCATGTCAGTCGTTTATATGAAAAGATAGTGATCTATGCCGGAAC